ACATATATAAGGAAGACCCTGGCCATGGGATCGGGTGAGCAGCAGTGCCCACCTGTCCAGCCGCTGCGATTCTCCCTGCCCACATCTGCGCCGTGTGCCAGGAGCACACGGGCACACTCGAGGTGCCCCAGTGTGGTGGCCAGGTGCAGGGGAGTCCGACCACGGGGATCCAGCTGCTCGATGTCCACCTGGAGAAGGAGGTGAAGATGGGTCCCTCGTCACTTCTGAGGCAGTCAGTCTGAGCCCAACCACCTCGAGGCCAGCAGCAGCCACCCAATTGCCCCACCCAGCTGCCCTACCCTGCCCACCTCACAAGGCAGAAGGAAAGACAGTCACGGGGAGCTGAGGCCAGGTGAACAGAAAGGCCTTGCAAGACAGGGCAGGAAGTAACTGAGAAGGGGTGACCTGCTTTCCTGCCTACCTGGGTCCCCCGACTGGGGTCACTCCTCCAAGGCCCAGTGGGCTCCTGTGAACAGTGGGCCTGAGGTTAAAGGGTGAGCTAGACAGGCTGTCAGCCAAGAAGGGCACCTGAGACAGGCCTCAGCCTAGTTGTCCAAGACCTTCAGTAAGAGCTACCAATGTAGACCACTGTCATTATCACTGAGTGAAGTTTAACAAGCAGTGGCAGAAATACATTGATAAGAATGAAAGAATAGGTTCATGGTACACATTCAATCCCATGGTCTATACTTGTGGGATACCATGCCTTAAAATATTCCATAAATCCTATCATGATTTTGTCAATAGCATGATTATAATCACATGAGATTTCTGCTGAGTGATAAAAGTGTTTGTTAAACATAAATATTTAAATATATTTCAAGAGCTTAGAATTTCTAGTTAAACACAATAAAGTGATCACAGGTATTAACTCCTCTTCTCCTTCATTAAAATGCCAGTTAAAGGTTTCTCCTCAACCATGATGAGAAAACTGAAATTACCCTCCCACCATGGAGAAAACAACTGCTTTAAAATGAATGAAATAAGCTCTTACTGCCATCTTGGAGCTGCTGGAGGTTTGCTGGGAAGAGGACCTGTAAGATACAGCTGGAAGGCTATTGCCCAAGGTCATTTTTTTTAAAGATTTATTTTATTTATTTGTGCATACAGGAGCTGGGGTGTTGGCCAGAGGTATTGGGGCAGGCTGTGTGTGTGTGTGAGAGGAGACAGAGTGGAGACCATAACAGGTAGATCTACTGAAACACACTGCTGAGGGGAGCAGTGGGTGAGATAGGAGAGGTCTGCCATGCCACATGGGTCGGCTCCCTGGCCAGGGAACAAACTCATGCTGCAGTAGCTGTGGAGAGCTTCACAGTACTGAGACTTAACCCCTGCACCACCAGGAAGGCCCTCGAAGGTCATTTTGCTGGCTACAAGTGGGATCTCTAGAACCAGCGGGAACATACAGCTCTTCTTATAACTGAAGATGTTAGGCTTATTAAAATGAATTCTATTTAGGCAAAGAGATGCTGCTTATGTATACAAGCAAAGAACAACACTATGAGTGCCAGCAGCAAACCAAACAAAAATAGTCATCTGAGGAAAGGTATAACACATGTCATGGCAACAGCAATGTGGCTTGCACCAAATCCTAAAGCAACCTTCTTGCTAAAGGCCACAGGACACACAATCTGTATGAAGTTGTGCCCATCGAGGATTTATTTATTGAAAAGTCAATAAATAACAGTAGATTTGTTAATACATACATACATACATACATACATATATGTCATGCATTAGATACCAAGTAATTCAGTGAACTGTGATCCTGACGTAAGAGAAACAATCAAGGTATGTCCTAAAATTGCCTGGGATTTCTACCTGGAGGAACATTTTAGGCTACAATTCAGGAAGCATGGTGTGGAAACCGAGGGAAGTTTAGGGTAGGGGTGAGGGTGAGAGTGGCAAAGCTGTAGAACAGAACCCCAGAAAAGAATGAGTTATAAAAATAAAAAAAGCCCATCAATAAATAGGCATGGGGTGCCTTTGGGTCTTTGCTAAATACTAAATGTCCTATGTATAGAGTGAAGTTCAACAAGACCAAACAGAAAAGGAGCAATAAACTGATAAATTCTCAGAACTGATCCAGGACTGAGAGACACCCAGTGTCCAGCTGGGGGAGTGGAATGTCCTTACTAAATATGCAGCATATTTACCAGAGTTCTGACAAGGGTTATGTAGTAGAGATAAATTATCCCTAGAGAAAAGGCACCTAGACTAAATACAACAAAGATTTAAAATAAGCTCCAAAAAGATCAAACTGATTTACAAGTAACTTAATGTGCCAGAATAAAGCCTAAAAGAACACAACAAAATCCAGGTGCTTAACATTACATTTACAATGCCCAACATCCAGTTAAAAATAACTAGACATGCAAAAAAGGAAAATATGATCATAATTAGCATAAAAATAATTTCACAAATTCAGAAATAAAAGATAATAACTCAATATGCTTTAGAATACCATATGAGCATAACATTACTGTGTCATATGTGTACATACATATATGTATATGTACTATATTCACACACACATGTAAATATCCCATGCAACTGTAGTGGATTAAATGGTAGTATTTCCCAAAAATATATGTCCACATTCTAACCTCCAGAAACCTGTTAATGTGACTTTACTCTGAAAAGGGGTTTTTGCAGATGTAATTAAGTTTAATCTTAAGATAAAATCAGCTTTATTCAGGTGAGACTTAAATGCAATGACAAATATCTTTGTAAGGTCCACAGAGGTGATACACACAGAGAGAAATTCCACATTAGGATGGATGTAGAAAATATTGGTATACAGACACAAGCCAAGAATTCTTGGAACTACCAGAAGCTGGAAAAGGCAAGGAAGGATTCTCCCCCAGAATCTTTGAAGGGAATGGGATCTTACTGAGTTTGGACTTCTGACTTCAAAAACTGTGACAGCATACATTTTTGTTGTTATAACCACCTACTGTGTGGTAACTTACTGTAGAAACTAATATACTGGTAAGTTTACCAATAGATATATCAGTGGAGTCCAATCAAGCAAGACAAATACAAAGAAAACTACACCAAGATCCATCCCATTCAAATGCTGAAACTAATGGTAAAATAAAGATCTTAAAAGCATTCTTTAAAAAAGAGAGAGACATTATAGATGGAAGAACAAATAGAGGAGATACTTTAAGAAATTATTTATCATAAAACTATACAAGCTGGGCCCTCCCAGGTGGCACAACAGGTTAAAGTGCAGCATCATGAAGTGCGCTGCAGCCACTTCACTGCAAGTTTGATCCCTGCCCCAGAGGTGACCCACATGGCACAGCAGACCTCTCCTGACCCAACCACTGCTCCCCTCAGCAGTGTACAACATCAGTCTGCCTGTTCTGTTCCCCACTCTGTCTCTGGTGAATCCCCTCACCACCCTTGCCCCTCTGGGGCAAGTTCTGTATGCATAAATAAATCTAAAAAAAAGCTGTGCAAGCTATTGTACAACACAATAGAATGAGATCTTTAAAGTGCAGGTGTGGAAACTGTTGACCTAGAAATCTCTATCCAGTGAAAATGACCTCCAAAAACAAAGGGGTAAAGAAGACGTTTGTGGACAACAAAAGCTAAAAGAACATATCGTGTAAGAAATGTTAAAGGAAGTTATTCAGGTGGAAGGAAAATGATACTAAACAGAAATTTAGATCAATACAAAGGAATGAAGAGTGCCCAAATGGTAAATTTGTAAGTATTAGAATGTCAATAAAATATTTAAAACCCATAAGAATAAAGAAAAGAGAGGTCAGCAGAAGAGAACCCCATCACTCATAAAGAGGAACACACCCAGCGGTCAGTAAGCCGCTCTGAAACGCAGACCCGGCAACCACAGGAAAGAGGCTCAGCGCTGAATCAAGGGTGACTGGTGAAAATCCAGATTCCTTGACCCCATCACCAAACTCATAAATCTGGGAGATGGCCTCCTTCCCACCATAGGATGCCAGGGGTTTATTCTCTGTAGAAAATGAGCCTGAGATACTTTGGCCCGAGGTGAGGTTCTGGGGTTAAAACTGGTCCACAGAGAAACCTCAGTTCTTTCCCCACCTTAGATGCTGAACCACTGCCAGCAAGCCTGCCCCGTCCTACTCCTAGCAGGAACTGGGGGGCTCTTCCTTGGAGGAACTACAGTCAAAGACCTCTGGATTCAGACATCTGAGAATCTTGCGAGAAGCAGGCCAGCTTGCCACCCGGCATCTTACAGTAAATCAGCAAGTACCACACGTGCATCTTGGGCCACACTCCCAGCCAGGGGTGACTGGATGTTTGGGGAAAGCTGCCAACAGGAAGGATACGAAAACATGCCAACAGACACTAAAAACGCAGGGGACACACATCAACACAGGAAATACAGGTTTGCCTCGATATTTGAAATTACTTGGTAGGTAATTTTGGAAATCTAGAAGCACTCAAAAATTAGTCCAGATAAGTCAGTGGTAACAGCATTCCCAGACCCTGAACATAACCTACCACATCGTAGATTATTACTAATAATCTACCACATCTACATTCAGGTAGCAGGGGAAACCTGTATAAGAGACCAGTTTGGGGGAGGAAACAGTAATTTACTTCCTCGGAAAAATATGAAGCGATTACTGACTGCATAATAAGGCGAGACATTCGTGACCTCTCTCTCTCCCTGTGTTCTCTTGGCTCCGGCCGTCCGGGGGTGGCTGTGCCTGTGGTTCCTCCTCCCTGGCCAGCAACACCCTGCATCACTCCCTTTTCAGGTAAGAAAACCGTCTTTATCTCTGCTTTCCCTTTCCTTCTCTGGGTCTGCTTCATCAGCAAAACTAGCCCTGTGAGTTTCACCATCCAAACAGGTCCAGAGTCTTCCATTTTCCACACCTTCAGGCTACCTGCCACCCTGTCCCTCACCTGGTGGCCCTGCTGCCCTCCGCGGGTATCTTTCCCCTCTCCCAACTACTCAGGTCTATTCACGGGGCACATAACAGCTACCCCCCATTCCTGGGAAATGTTACTCCGGTCCTGCCAGCCTTTAAATCAAAACCCTCCCATGGCTTGTGAGCCTGCTTAAAATAGAATCCAATAGCCCTGGACGCCTCTGGACTCCTGTGAGCCCCTGCAACTCCCCCCTCACTCTCACCTGCCTTCCAGGAAGCGTCTTCTGGGCACCCTCCATGGCTACAAAGCTTTCTCC